GAGCGGCGATACCGTTCAAGCGAAATGGATTTCCGGCGACAAGGCATTCTACCCTGCTAAAATCATGGGCGTTACTGGTTCATCAACAGCGCCAGTTTACAGCGTCAAGTTTAAGGGCTATGATAACACAGAGAATCTGAGGGCGAAAGATATCCGTCCCATGACAAACAAACGAAAGGCGGACGCTCCCGCCGCAGCACCCTCTCCAACTGTGGCGGCCCCACCTGCACCAGGTGTTGTTTCTTCCGCTGGTGCTACTGTCTACCCTGATGCCAAAAAAGAGACCGAGAAACAGGCTGACTCGCCCAAGCCTCCCAAGGCTAAAAAAATCAAGGCGAATAAGGAGCTCGAGGCTGGCAAGACCAAATGGCAAGACTTTAACAACAAGTCCAAGTTTGGGAAGAAATCAAAGAAGGACAGCATGTTCCGAGTTCCCCAAGGGGTGAACAGTAGAGGTATGTTTGCCATTTATCTAACCTCTGAGGGATTTGAAGCTAACATCTTCCTGCAGTGGGCTTCACAGGTTCCGGCCAAGCCATGCGCAAGGACCCCACCCGAAGCCGCCATGTGTATCAAGTTAACGAAGACAACGACTAATTACTCAGTTTTTCTCGATAGGGCCCTGTCGATTTCGGCCGAGGCGGCGTTGGTGTTCGTTGATTAAATGGTTGATCATGGTTCTTTTAAATCGGTAATACACCTGCTCGCTTAGTTGACAGAAACTGACGATGACTTGGTTTACTCGAATTTCACATTCATATCGCGCTACGACTCGTAATCGGTGCCCGACGAAAAGCAGCATTTAGCTGGCTGCAGCTAGGTATCGGCGCAAGACAAGATTGACTGGTTGAACTCTGGATGACAGAGTTGGTATTGAGCATGGTATAGATCATGCCAAGGTATAACTAGTCTTTATTTAGGCCAACTTTAGAGCAGATTGTCTGTGCTATTTCCAAAAATGCCGATGCTCTGGTGCTCGTTGGTTCTGAAACCACAGTAGGTTTTCCCTTGTCGCCATCATCCCCAATGTTAGGATGGAGGGGAATATCACCCAGGAAATCAATACGGTGCTCGTCACACAATTTTTTAACGCGCTCATTTGACCCAAACACGTGTGTCGCCTCGTTACACTTGGGGCATGTGAAAAGAGACATATTCTGGACCATTCCAAGAATATTAACGTCGACAGTCTTGAACATGTTAATTCCCTTGACAGCATCTTTCGTTGCCAATGTGTGAGGCGTAGACACAATAACAGAGCCTATGAACGGTCAGCTTCGTTATAATGCTAATTGGTAGTGAACCTTACCATCTAGGATGACCTGTTGCGTAATGGTCAATTGAGTATCACCCGTTCCGGGCGGTAAGTCCAGAACCAAGACATCAAGGCCGCCCCAATCGACTTCATGTAGGAGCTGCTGGACTGCCTTCATAACCATCGGTCCTCTCCACACTACAGGGGCGCTCTCCCCGACGAGGTAGCCCATCGACATGGTCTTCACACCATAATTTGTCAGAGGAACAAGCTGGTTATCTTCGTGGCCTTAGTAAACATGTTTTTGTTTGCAATTCATGAGAATTAAACCTACTGCTTGATAAATTCGGTTCGCCAGACAAGTCAAACAAGGTAGGGATAGAGGGCCCGAAGATGTCGACATCCAGAATGCCAGAACGTAGCCCAAGTCTAGCAAAGGCGAGTGATAAATTTGCTGCCCTCATGAATTAGAAGTTCGAAAGGCTAGAGGCCAGGAAGAACAACACGTACCAGCCACAGTACTCTTACCAACACCTCCTTTAGCCGAGGAAACAGCAATGACTTTGTCGACTCCTGTGATCTTCCTCCTTTGCGGTCGTTTCGGCCAGCTGGGAGGTGTCCCCGACCGTGGCAAGCCCTAAGGATCTCAGCATGCGGGAAGCCCTTCAAGTTGGAAATCAACATACAAGGGGATTTTCGTGCCGTAGAGCCCGTGTCGCCTGGAGAAGGCGTGGCAGGGTAGCACGCATTATGCACAGTTCGATAGATAATGTTCAGTCTGTTCTAGGTAGTGTACAATTACCAAGTTGGGGTAAAAAAAAATACATATGTCAAAATCACAAGATAGAAATAAAGCCAAATCCTAAATGAGGTTGGCATTTAATTATAGGAAAACGACATACTGAATTCAAAGACAAATCCACCAATCTGATCTTCACCAGCTCGCTCTCGAGCGACGTCAAGCAGCAAGTAAAAGTGGAGAGCTAGCATTGAAGTTAAGACCCACACACTCGTTCTGCCGCTCTACACCGCTTAAAAGTTCAAGTGCAAACGTCTAGAAAAAATCCCACCGTGGGGCCAAGCCAGTTCTGGTTGTTTGCCGGCAAACTCATAGAGAGCATTCAAGATGTCCGGGTTAAAGGGTCGCGCGAAGCAATTCATGGACGATGAAAAAATCGTCAAAGGTAAGAAGAAAAAGCCATTGTTCCAATTGAATGTTTTGCGACTGACCAGGCTCAGACTACGACCCTGAGGCGGATGGCCGAGACGTGGAAGAAGACAGTGGTAGCGATGCCAGTGGCGACAAGCGCACCGGAACGGAGCACTATGAGGCCGTAGGAAAAAGCAAGCTCAGACACAAAGATTCTGTCTTTTTGGGTTCTGAGTATCGAGGTTCCAAAGTCTCCAGGGCCGCCTTGGAAGATGACGATGAGGAGGATGAGGATGAGGACGAGGGGGACGAGGAGGAACAATACGATGATCCCGATCTTGCCGACTTGGAAGCCGATGAAGCCAATGCTAGCGACTCTGAGATCGAGAGCGATGACGCGCTAGCTGAATCGGATGATGAGCATCTGAAAGACTTCGCCTTCCGAGGAAGCTCCAAGCCTACAAAGCCATCCACAAAGAGGGCAACAGCCGCCGACTTCATGTCATCCTCGGAGGATGGTGAGGATGCCACTGGCGGTGTAGACCTTGATGACGACGAGTCTTCCGATGAGGTCCTAGATGAGGACGAGCTTGGCTCTGACGAATCAGAGGATGGAGAGGAGGATGACGGCCTTGAAGCACTTGCAGATGGTCTCTCTGACCTGGGAGAGGGCTCCGAAGAGTCTGAGGAAGAGGATCCATCTGATGAGGATGATGAAAATAGTGAGGACGACAGTTCGGATGACGACGGCAAAGCCACCAAGAAGAAGTCAGCACCTGGATTAGCGTCCCAGGCCCCGGCATCTCAGCAGCAATCAGAGGTTGAGAAGGGAGTGGCAATCCAGCAGCAACGCAAGGTGTACGATGGGCTTCTTAACCTCCGTATCCGGCTGCAAAAGGCTCTGGTCGCCGTGAACACATTTCCGGTCATTGATGACTCTGAACCTGCTACGGAGCCTTACGAGGCGGCCGAGGTTGCTGCGATCAAGCTTCTCAATACTATCAGCAACTTGAAGCATGATTTCGGCAACACGGCCCAAGTAGGCTCAAAGAGGAAGAGAGAAATTGAAATCTCTCTTTCCAACGATGAAATCTGGGAGCAACTCGAAGAGGAAGAGCGTGAGCTTATGAAATCACGACAGGACAGGCTGGAGAAATGGTCCCGACGGGTACAGTCTGTCACTGTGACTGCTGCTCCCAAGGGGCTCGGGGCTAGAAACAAGACCCTCATCAACAACTTGGAGGACCAACTGGCTGATTCTGACGATCGCCTGGTGAAGAAGACGCGGGTTCCCCGCTCTTGCGCCCCAGCCCAGGCTGCCAAGAGAGTCGCCGAGGACGAATACGTCTATGACGATGCCGACTTCTATCAGCTGCTGTTGAAGGAACTAGTAGAGCAGCGAACCGTCGACACATCCGGAGATCAGGTGAATGGCGTTCCTTCTGTCATGCTCACGGCTGCGAAGGGCGTCAAGATGCGCAAGAATGTGGACCGAAAAGCGAGCAAGGGCAGGAAGATGCGATTCACCGTCCACGAAAAGCTGCAGAACTTCATGGCACCCGAAGATCGCCGGTCCTGGGAGCAAGGGGCCATTGATCGATTCTTTGTCACACTATTCGGCCAGAAGATGGAACTCGAGGAGGACGAGAGTGCAGATGAGGACATGGAGGAAGTCGAAGCACAAGCCGAAGGAATGAGACTGTTTCAATAGAAGGAAAAGTTTTTTGTATAGACATGCCCACATTAGACGCCTCGGGCTTCCCAGAACCAAATCAAATACCATTCAATACAATAGACCTGCTTGCAGAAACATGAAAAATAAGAGGCCATGAACGCCCAAGTGAACAATGGGACCCCCCAAAGTACTTCCTAGCTCTCCTTGGACGTCGAGATTGTTCTGGAGCCTGGCCACAGCCCGGTAGCTGGGCCAAGCGTGGCAGAATGCGAACGCCAATGCAACAAGCTTGGTCGTCTCATCAACTACAGGCCTGACAAGAAATATAAGACTGATGAGATTGGTGAAGAGAATGCAGCCGCCATAGCATTGCAGGATGATCGTCGCCGAGTGAGACAACGGCTGGAGCTGTCTGTGGGGGCGAAATATGAATGTCAGAGCTGAGCAGGAGGCGACAAGGATGTGGAGGAAGAATGGGAGCTTTGAAAGGGGAATCATCCTCAATCCAGAGCTTTGGAGTCCGATAAACGAGGTTGCGGATAAGGAGAAGCGTCGTTTCTGTCACTGTTTGCTTGAGATGAATGCAATGCTTAGAGAAGAGTGGGACAGGGAGTGTGGATATCAAGTGTCTGAAACTCTGTCGCTTGCATTAAGGATCGGACTCAGGGACTGAGGCAGCATTACGGTGGAGACATTAGTCCGATCTTTCAGTGTTTTAGATGGCTGTTTCTGGGGAGCAATGATATCCCAGTTGAGAAGACCCTGTTTTTGGTATCTCGTTGCCTAATTGAACATCTCATGCTTTGGAGTTTTCCATTTTTGGCCTTGCAATGGCAACTTGTAAGAATATCTCTGCTCAGACGCCTAAACGAGGAAGTCCCCTAAGAACAGGCACTGCGGGGTACTTAGTGCCAGCCGGAATGGAATTCGTCATTCCAGCACCAAAGTAAGCTGACGACACCTGTGTTTGCAGCTAATGGATAGCGAAAAGCTTCAGAGAACACCTGTCAGGGCCAATTTTGAAACCGTATTAAGGACGTTTCGCCGGACTCTTGGATGTTCTCTATGTTTCACCCCTGTGTTTGAGAGCTCTGACAGCCTAAATGAAACGTTCCAAGCTTGAACCCCTATGCGGAACAATCATTAATCCATCTCCACAGCTCAATTGCACCCAAAAGGGTCTCCACCGAGGCAATAATAGTGGGTGCGCAGATTGGTAATTAACTACTACTCCTGCCCTTGAACCAGAAGAGCTTCAGCGCCCAACATATTTCCAGTTGGCTTCTGGGCGCAATTGACAAATAAATTAAATTTATAATAGACGAGAACCGGCAGTCAACATGGCGTCGTGGAAGATCACCAAGAGTACGTGCAGCAATCTGGTTCTTTGTGTTCCCTTCATTCTACACCGTTTCGTCAACTCAAGCTAACCCCCTCTACAGAGTTAAAGGAGACCCATCTGGGATCTTGGTCGTCCAACTCCTCAAGGAACACAACGAATGCTACGCCAGAGAAGGAACAGGACGAACGACCGGAAAGTTTTACGTCTGCCGAAGATGAGAAGGTTACAGCGGGTTTGTTTACCGACTCTCTCGATATGATCCTCGTGGCTTTTGCTGACCGAAACGGGATGTATAGAAGCTCTCACCCAAGCCCCCGTCATAAAGACCTCGAAACCCGGCATCCTGATTGTTACTCTCCACGAAGGAAGGGGATTCTCCTTGCCCGAGCAATATCGTCATATTTTTGCATCTCACAGTCGATCCACGAGCCAGGCTAGTAGCGTGTCTGGGTCTCTAAGGCCAGGGGCATCGAACAACCGTCCCCAGACCTCTTCATCTGGCCTCGGCGATATCCCGACGAACCATGGACGTGTCTCCGGAAAATACATGCCATATGCTCTCCTCGATTTCGATAAGGTACAGGTCTTTGTCAACTCAATCGATGGAAGCCCCGAGAATCCTACCTGGGCAGGCTCCAACACCCAGTACAAGTTCGATGTGTCCCGTGTGACGCAGCTTACCGTTCATCTATATATCCGCAACCCGAGTGCGCCCCCCAAATCAGGAAGAAGCCAGGACATCTTCATCGGTGCTCTTCGCGTTGATCCTAACTTCAACGAACCCAACAAGGATACTCAGTGGATCGATTTGCAGTACGGAACGGGTCAGCTCCAGGTTTCCGTCGAGTATGCTGAGCCACCGGCCACCAAGCTTGGAATCGAAAACTTCGAACTCCTCAAGGTCGTCGGAAAGGGAAGTTTTGGAAAGGTTATGCAAGTGCGGAAGAAGGATACCAACCGTATCTATGCCTTGAAGACCATTCGCAAGGCCAAGATCATCTCGCGCTCGGAGGTGGCACACACATTGGCAGAGAGATCTGTCCTTGCTCAGATTAACAACCCCTTCATCGTTCCTCTGAAGTTCAGCTTCCAATCCCCCGAGAAGCTGTATTTCGTACTAGCGTTTGTCAATGGTGGCGAGCTGTTTCATCATCTCACTATTGAGAGGCGTTTCGATATCAACCGCTCTCGCTTCTATACCGCTGAACTTCTCTGCGCGCTCGAATGCTTGCACGGATTCAATGTCATCTACCGCGACCTAAAGCCCGAGAATATTCTGCTTGATTACCAGGGCCATATTGCTCTGTGCGATTTCGGTCTCTGCAAGCTCGAAGTGAAGGATGAAGATGAGACTCACACTTTCTGTGGAACTCCGGAATATCTAGCCCCCGAGTTGCTGAAGGGCAAGGGGTATAACAAGACGGTCGATTGGTGGACCCTGGGTGTGCTTCTGTATGAAATGCTTACAGGTCTGCCTCCTTTCTATGACGAGAACACGAACGAAATGTATCGCAAGATCCTTTCGGATCCTCTGCACTTCCCGGGACCCGAGATCGTCCCGCCCGCCGCTCGCGATCTTCTGACGAGGCTGCTGAACCGTGATCCCGCGCAGCGATTGGGAGCGAACGGTTCAGCGGAGATCAAGGCACACCCGTTTTTCCATGCGATTGACTGGAAGAAGTTGCTGCAGCGAAAATATGAGCCTACCTTCAAGCCAAACGTGGTATGTATTGCTGCTCTGAACTCATCCCCCACCCATAGATTGAAAGCACTTGCTAACACAGTTTGGCGCAGGTTGATGCACTTGACACAGCCAACTTTGACCCTGAGTTTACATCCGAGCCGGCACAGGATTCGTTTGTGGACGACCCGGTTCTTTCTCAAACTATGCAGTAAGTGAAGCAAGAATCTTGGGTAGGAGAATCGAAGCTGACGTGATTGGCCACAGAAACCAGTTTGCAGGCTTCAGTTACAGCAGGCCTGTGGAGGGACTGAATGACGCAGGTGGCAGCATCAAGGACCCTTCATTCGTGGCTGGCACCCGATGAGGGCCGATGCACTGATAGATTGAACAGCTTGATCTTGGTGATATGTGCTCGTTCTTGCTGTTTTCATAGCTAGCGAAAGATTGTATTGGATTTCCCAGATTTTCTCACCGTGATACATAGGTACTCATGTATATATATATGTCTTACTTTGTTCCTCGGTGGTGATGGTACGGCCTAAGGGTAAACAAGCTTCGCCGAGGACGTTGGGGTCAGCATCTAGATAAACTTTATACATAGACCTAGACAAGAGGTGCTTTCTCATGCCCCTATTCCTGCGGCCCCCAACAACGGTCTACGTAGTGATCATCAGGCCCTGATCGGCATCCCCAACTCTTTAGCCGAGTCCAGCTAGAGCTCGGTTCAGCTCAGCTTTAGATCGGCCCCACAACAGCTGTTGAACCTATCATGGTGGTACATGCAGGTGAGACATCTCAAAGCATCAATGACCTCTTCAAGTCGTCATTGACTGACACATGTTTTCGCGCTTTTTCCGCTCCGTACCAATCTCATTAGGGCAAAAAAACCTGTGGGTAGTTCATTTTGTATAGATTTTGCACATCACATCTCTCGTGGATATAGAATAGAAGATTAGTATGTAGGTATTCCTAATTGGCTATCCTAGCTGGCCGCTCCTACTTCCATTGGACACCGTCATTGATTGCGCATCAGTTTAAATATCAGAAGGAATGCCCCAAAGGAAAAGATAGAGAAAAAGAAAAAGCCCCTGTGAAACCAAAATGATGTAAGCTTTAGCAGCTGAAAACATAATTTACTGCTCACTCTGTTGTGTTCCCGAACCCGTTGTTTCGGCATCTTCAAGCCCTAGATTGCTGTCCACGTAATATACATCGACCGGTTGCCGAAGCCAGGTACAAATTATTTTTTTAATGCTCATCACTTCCAACAAGAGAAACTTCAGCAGTCATGTCGGGTGTCAGTTCCTTCGGGGAACTGGGCCTCTCCATCCTTGGTATTGGGACGCAGTACCCGCCTCACTCGCTCAAGCCAGATGCATTGAATACACTCAGTGAGAGGTATTATCCTCAATCAGATGCGTGAGTACTGCTTCTTGCATAAAGTAATAATTGGCAGTTCTCCTAGTGCTAGACTGAACTGCCTCTAGCATGAAAAAGATGCTCTCCATCAACAGGTTTACAGGAATCGAAGCACGATCATCAATCGGCACTCCAGAGCACCCGCTGGTCAATCAGGAGAAGTCCCCTTCCATAAAGCAGATCCATGAGCTGTTTTTCAATCTCGGGTTACCGCTCGCCGTCAATGCAGCCCGGAAAGCTATCAAAGAGGCAGGCATTGACTTGAGCCAGATTACGCACATTGTCTCCACGACTTGCACGGACAGCTCAAATCCGGGGTTCGATCATTATGTCGCAAAGGAGCTTGGGATTGTCCACCAAGTCGAGAAGGTACTTCTACACGGGGTCGGGTGTAGCGGAGGCTTGGCTGCCTTGCGAACAGCCGCCAATCTAGCTCTGGGACATTCAGCACGGAGGAAACCCGCTCGCGTTCTGTGCCTTGCCTTGGAAATCAGCACGATTCTGATCCGGAGTGAGCTGGACAGCATAATTGAGCTACAAGAGACTAGAATTGGTCCCTGTCTTTTCTCGGATTGTGCGAGCGCCTTGGTTTTGAGTAACGGGATTGGGGAGAGACGAGACCCCGTTTACGAACTGCTAGGATGGGATCACCGAATCATTCCAGATACAGATGGTGATCTTGGTTTTAATGTAGATCCTCTCGGTGAGACATGATCCTACATCCGAACCGCTCTTGTAGATCAAACTGGCACTAACTAATGTCAAAAACTAGGATGGAAAGTCGTGCTGACTCCCAGGGTCCCAAAGCTAGCCGGCTCATCCATGCGGCCGGCATTTGAATCTCTCCTCTCACAGTTGCCAGAGCTGCCATCAAACTGCCAGGAAGCCGCCGACTTTGACTGGGCCATGCATCCCGGAGGGGCGACAATACTGTCAGGCGCCGAGCGCATCATGGGCATCAAGCCAGAGCACATGAGGGCAAGTTACGATAGATATATAAGCCATGGCAACTCGAGTTCGGCAACAATCTTCAGCGTCATGGACCGGCTGCGGCACAAGGAAATGGATGCCCTCGCCCCAGATGGTCATGTGCGTGACTACGTCGTTGGATGCGCATTCGGGCCTGGTATATCAGTGGAGATGTGCATGCTCAAGCGCAACAAGGATCACGGTAGCAAGATAGTTGGTATATCGACGCCGCCAGAGACAGACAACGAGGCCAGCGAGGACATTTCGGATGACGATTTGTCGTTGAACGGGTTGTCCGAAGATAAATTGCCTGGAGAATATAAACGATTCATAGAGAAGTCTTTAGAATTGCTAGAACTTGACTGACAGCGAGAAGGATTACTTGAAATGGGAAGCAATTAGATTATTATTCATAAACGATAACAAGAAATAGAGGCTCTCATTGTGTACAGGCATCGATTGGCGCATAATCGCAAACGAGGAAGACTTCCAACTTAATATGCGTTCCATTCCGAAGGTAGAAAATGATTGTTTACGGTCATTTGTCCAATTTTGTGGTACGGGTAACGGGAACTTCAAGCATTCATCATGATTTTCATTTAAGAGAACACTCTATGCCATTAATCCATCAACTCCTCGTAAACCACGGCTCTTGTAAGTAATTAAGCATAAAATTCCCCACGTATTAATCCTTCCCTAGAGCGGTAATGTTTTGACTACTTTGGTACAGCATAAAGGCGCTGCATATTCCCTGAGCGGTCACAAGAAGCAAACTTCCACCAGTCTCGATGAAACCAGAATCCGATATGCCGGATCACGAACAGCGGCCCAGCTGCCTCGGGGGGCGGGAACGTGTTAGCATGTATGCCGCCCTCGAAGTGAAGATCCAGGTTGGCGATGGCAAACGGCAGCCCGGTGGTCATGCCCTGCGATTTCTGTTGTACGGGGAGACAATCAGCGGGTGCTGTTCAGTAATGGGTATATTGCAGGTCCTCACCATGACTTCCCCTACCGCTTGAGCATTGATGTCCAGTATTTCCGCCATTCTCTCCTCGCCGAACTCCTCCAGGCCCAATATTGTTCCGATTTCACCATTCAAGTGTTCAATAAGGGCCTTAGAGAACGTGTCGATAATTCTAATGAGCTCATCGCCACTAAAATCGGTGTTTTTATTCAGGCAACCCTGAACATATAGGCTGAACTCCTCGACCCCGTCGTGGAACACTTTGTGTTGATCCACATTACGACTCATGAGCCCCTCTTGTCCTGAGAGACGCTCGATAGCTGGGAAGTAATATTGTTCCTCTCCGGAGTGGTGGGCATTTAGGTATCGACACCACTGATGCGCGTAATTGCAGAATGCGTAATGGTCGGAGGGCTGGACGTGCTGCGCTTGGAGGTATATCGAGTTCAGGCCGCGAATGATCATGTTGTGGACACAGGCCATTTCGGTAGCAAGGTTGTGAAACAGGTTTGGCTATTGATAGTCAGTTTAACGGCTGGTCCAACTCCATTCTTAGGAGACAGACCTTGGTTTCAGAAGGCAATGTGTACGCAGGTGTTGTGATAAGAGCAAAGGGATGATCAGCGTAAACATCCTTCGATCCCTGGGGTATCGAGTTTGAATTGTCGACAGCCATTTCAAACACCTTCTATTCAAGAAATTTTGAATTTGCTATTGAGAATAATAATGAAAGTTAAGCCCAAATAAACACATACTGGGGCAACAGTTCGTCATCGAGATTATATATGCCGTCGCCTATCATCCCCTGTCGTCCAGATTTCCATAGCTCAGGTCCGCACAATGGCTTGAGTTCCCCATTCACTGGGTTGATTGGCATATTACTTTCGTAGGATTTTCTAGGAATGACTTAATGGTGTGGTGTCCTTGATACGCTGACCACCAGAGACGATTCGAAATCCCTGGTGTCTTGGGGCGATAACCTTGCAATCGTTGTATCAATATCACCACTAGATCAGACTATTGAACGCATCCCTTGTATTGTGAGGTGAGCTAAATTTATAATTATGACTGTTGGTTCAGATGGTGTCCCCATGTCAGAGTACTAAATAGGTGTGTTGCAGATTGAGCCTCATCAACTTCCGAATCAGTAGCTAGACAAGAAATTTCGTTCATGTCAGCTTCTCGGATAGAGTCCGCGGCTTGGGTGTGATCAACGTTATAATTTTTTTGGAGCAAGGAAAACACCACTATGTCAGCTTGTTGGACACCTTGTGGGATCATAAGACGATTCAATCTCGCATACTGCTGAGATAAACTGTGTCAGCTTATCAAATCCAGGCGTGGCAACCAGCGATTGACGTGTGAATTTAGTTTGTAGGATGGCGGAACCAGGGACTCCAGTTCCTGTGATAATTTAGTTCCTCTTCGTGTATTTGGCCGTAATAGGCGAAGGTGGTAGTAGAGGTATGCACCATGAAAGTTTCAACTACGCTCACCCTTAGCGAGTGAGATAGGTCAAACCTTGGCGAAGGTGACTAATTAATGCCAAAGCTATTGGATTCCATCACACCAGCTGAGTTCCTTTATGAAGCAAAGTGGCTTTCGACACCAGGCGCAGTTGGATGATGGATCAATCGACGAGGAATGCACGAGCTGCAGGGTAGGCTGTAAGGCCCAGGCTGGATCGGAGGGTAATTTACCCGCAGGCCAGAGGCATGAGAGGACCGGCGGTCACGTGGTCTCTCATCCTGGGGAAACAGAAGAACTGACCAATTCGGGGCAAGCTGAAAGTCGTCGCTATGCAGTTGCTGCTTCCGCTTCATCCAGCGACATCATAGCTGTCTCCAGCCTCTGGATGGCCGTTGATGCACTATGGAGCAGATTGAGACCCAGGCAACGGACCTGCGTTACCTCGCCCAGGCTCCCGTCTCCTTGAGCGACGCCGCATCAGTCTACGACACCCCGGTGCCCCAGCACAGTCCTGGTTCCGCATCTGTCGGAGACAATTCCGCTCCAGCCGCCACAGCACTTGTAGCTCCATACAGCAGCTCCAACAAGCGCAAATCAGTGGATGACGGAAGTGCCAGCAAACAGACCAGGAGCAAGAGGAACCGAGTACGTACAATCCTTTTATTTCGCTGCCGCCGTTCATTCGGCCCAGCGCCCACCGTGGCTTGCAGCAGGCGCTTTGTAGAAGTTCAATCTCGCTAATCCTCGTATCCGCCCGTCGTACAGTACATCTCCATCGCTTGGTAAGACACACATACGCACCTCGGATATTTTCCTGTCCAACCAACCTGCGGTTAAACAATAATTTTCCGCGCCTTAGGGTGCCCTATGACTGACCGTTCTGGATTAGTAACGAGTGTAAACGACGCAAGATCAAATGTAATGGTGAGACACCATGCCAACGATGCGGGAACCTCAACCTGGCGTGCCTGTACGCTCCCAACTGCTGTTCCAGCACTTTCAAAGACTCGGACGAATTCAAGCAAGTCTCAGCACAGATCAGTCGGCTGCAGGATGAGGTCAACTGGCTGAATCAATCCGTCAAAGCTTTGCAGGATGATGCTGTGCACCCGACCGCTCCGACAGATCGATTGGCTGCTTCGATATCCTCCGCGCCTACGCCATCCCATAGTGGAGGCACCGTACATCGCCCCGAAGCTTTTTCCACCAGGCAAGGGTCTTTCAGAGGGCCGACGACCATGGTATATAGCTTGGATGTTGCGAACACTACAATGGCAAACATGGGGTATAAGGTGTCGAACGAGGGCGATGACCTCCAAACTCAGCAATTTTTGGAAGACAATCAGCTGCCAATGATAGAGAAGTCCGGGCAGGCGATCCCCGATCCGTTACTTGAATTTGAGAGAGACGAAATGGTTCGTCTATGCCGGTTACACGAAGAGGAGGTTGGGATTATGTACCCTGTCCTTGACATCCAAGTTGTCATCTCTCATGCTAAAAGCCTCGCCTCTGTCATTGAATCTCTGAAAAATCAGCAACCGCTAGAAGCTCTGAATGATGAGAAGACACTGCAGCTGAAGATGGTTATGTGTTGTGGGCTCGTTGTCGAGGAGCATGGCCATAGCGAAAAAGCTGCACGACTCTACAACAGCATGGAGGCGGTTGTCAATCGAAAGTTGATGGCAGACACGAGCGATGTATCGAGTTTGCCACTCTTGGCGCTCCTGGCAGGCTATCGCTTCCTGTCCAACGATGAAGTGCTTTCCTGGAGAGTGATGGGTCAGGTCGCCAGACTGTGTCTTGAGCTCGGGATTCATCAGAGAAGCGGTCTCCTGGGCATTCGCAATGAACTGGATAGAAAAAATGCCCTGAATAGCTTTTGGTCTGCCTACGTTCTCGATCGTCGGTGGGCCTTTGGTACTGGGCTACCATATGTGGTACAGGATGATGATATCGACCCTCATTTACCGATGCCGGTAAGACAGATCTGGATGAACTGCCTAAAAACTCATGTGAGATTTCTAACTGTACTGTTTAGGAGGAATACCCCTATTTGATGGCTATGATTACATACTCAAAACTGTGTGCCAAGGTCTGGCGTCAAGTGATGCATTTTGGGCCAATCCTGGCAAGAGAGTTGCGCCAAGAAGAAATTGAGAATCTTGATCAAGAAATTCTTAAATGGTATGAAACTGTCCCCGAAGAAGTCAAAGTTAGGAACTGGGACAAGGACAGACACATGACCTTAACGCCCTCGTATAACCTTCAACGTCTGCGGATATGGACGTATTTGAGACTTAATCAGGTATGTTACCCGGTATTGTGGCTTGGGTGGAAGCTCATGATTTTCAGATTCGCATCTGGCTATACACGCCGGTGTTACATAGTGCTACCAGCATTATGGCCAACCCCATACAAGCTCAGCGAGTCGTCGATCTTGCCAAGGACACGATCCGTTACCTCAACCACCTCAACACAACAACAAATCTTTACCGTCGCATTCAAGTTTTTTATAACCAGTTTTTGACGTCTGCCATCGGTGTTGTGTTTCTTGCGTCTGTCCACGCGCCAGTGCGATTTAGCGCAGTTTGTCGCGAGGAGTTCTACTTGGCTCTTGAGTTGGTGAAGGATCTGTCCGCCAAGAGCTGGGTGTCGAAGCGGTTGTGGAGGACGATACGGTCACTCAAGGACGTTGCACCTCGATTTGGCCTGAATCCAGACGATGATCCTCATTCAACAGCTGCTCTTGGTATGATTGGGCTTGCTCGTGGCCATTTGGATTCTGGTTCGGGTAGACCCTTGCCATTCCAACGGCCCCCGTTACCAGCTGGGCAGTTCCACCAGGGAGCTGCGGTAGATCAAAATGGATCAATGATACAGAGCGAAATGTCTCGAATATTTGAAGGCTATGTTGGCTTGAATGGAGTACAAACCTCGGGAAGCGAGGAAGAGGAGAACACAAGGCCCAGTGCGCCTGAAATGCAAAGCTCTGAATCAGGCAGTGGCACGTTCGGAGGTGACGGAACTGTTTTTGCTCAGTTCAAGGAAATGTTTTGAAGGTAGAAATGGATGAAGATAAAAAGGCTTGGGCGGCTGAGTGAGTTTAAGATCAAGGATGAGCAGATGAGACGGCGGAAAATACCCCTAAATACGTCTTTCATAGACAGGTAATGTTTGATTGAGATATACCATGCAAGGCATAAGACGTTCAGCACTTCTGATAGAATGGCATGGAAATTAAAAATTTGATCATAGTGCCCAAACTTGTGGTATCTTTAGTCAAAAACGATCTTCGCTCCAGAGAAAGCGACTGCTTTCTTAGCATCCTTGGCCTTCTTAGCCGCCTCCCAAGATGGGTGCAGTACTCCTTCATCGTCCCGCTTAGTTGGTTTGGGTGGCTGCGGCGTTGGCTGGAAACTAGAACCATCGCCATCACCTCTGCCCTTATTTAAGAAAGGATTGCTTACACCCTTTTTCCATGGCGTCCTGCGACCCTGGTCATCTCCGTCGACGGCTCCTCGTCTCATGTCCCATCCGGCATCTCTGCCTCCTCTCCTCTTCTCCTGCTGGAGATGCTTAGCCTTGGTGCCGAACTTCTTCTCCCAGATGGCCTGTCGAGCCCTTTGACCGCGTCTTTTCTTGGGCGCCTCGACATCCACGTCTGATGCTGATTCAGAACCGGACATGTAGCCTCCCATAAGGGACGGCAGGAAAGTCGAGTCCCTAATGGGGCCGGGATCCTTGCTCCTCTTTGTCTTCTTTGCTGGGGGCGGAGGTGAAGATGATTGGTCGCTCTCAGCCTCTTGCTCTTCCTTTTCTTCTTGCTCCTCGTCTTCGTCATCATCCTCGCTCTCCTCTCCGACCTCTACGTCCGCATCGGATCCTGAAACTGAGATATCATCCAGATTGACCTTTTCACGGCCTCTGAATTGATCATACCGTTTGTCGTTGAACCCTGCATCCTCGTCTTCCGAGGAGCTCCCAAGCAGACCATCATATTCCGCAAATTCACCCTCTTCAACGTCCCCGTCCTCACCCTCGCTGTCTGAAGCACCATCCGCGACCTCAGGACCGGGTCCGCCGTCGTCACTGAAACCCTCGAAATCCGTCACCTCGTCCGGGTCCTCACCCACCCCATCACCACTCTCCGGAGGAAGACTGACCTCGTCCTCGGCTTCGTGCGATATCCTATCGGCCGGCTGATCTTCCGCATCCTTCCGCTTGTCCTTCTTCCCTTGTTTCCCCTTGGACGGAATCGGGACCCCGAGGAGCTTGCACACCGATTCGACCGCCCGGTCCACGACATCCTTCACCGGCTTCCTGTTATAGAGCCCGCTGGTCACGTTGTGGAGGGCAGACCTCTCCTCCTCCGAGAGCTCGGGCCTGGGCACGCCGGTGCGGATCTCATCGGGGAGGTCGGTGGACGCCGCGATCGCCTTGACCTTGAGGAGGGAAGAGAAGAGGTGCGCTCGCGCGGTCTGGTGGAGCTCGAGTGACTGGCGGCAGCGCAAAGTTAACCAATGATCTTTCCGGAAACTACCTTCCATGCGATTGAATACATGTGTGCGTTTAGATGTGGGGATCGAACCTTGAGAACGGCAACCTCCCGCTCCAGCCTTTCCTGCTTGTCGGGTGTGATGCCAGCCTCGTGGAGTCGCTTGCTGAGGCGCTGTCGCTCGAAGCCCTTGGCGGCCTTTAGGGCCCGGGACAGGTCGTCCTGGCTCTTTGTGAGCTGGTCCTGCAAGGTGGGCTCGGAATTCCGCTTTCTTTTAGACATGGTGGAGTTTGTCGTTCTGTTCCGAGAGGTCTTCTAGATGTGATTCCAGAAGGTTATGATTTGGACCTTCTTCAAAAAAATTAACTGGGTCTGGTGGATTTGGTCCGGGAGTATGAATTGGGAAGACGCACTGTGAGTTTGAGTGTAAATTGCACAGTGCGGATAAGACCGCTGTAACGGCGATTGACAGGCAAGTGGCTCTCAGAAAAACAGGGACTGCAAAGTCACCTCGACAGAATTATTGTGGCAGTCAGTCACATAATAATGCTTACTATTGTGTAATAGTAAGAAGACGATATTGCCTAATAATTGCCTGATAATTTAGTGTTATTACATTGACTATGGTTTATCAATATTGTGACCTGTATTAGAAAGTTGGGATTCAAACACCTTCGCAGTACCGTTATTCCGACGCCCACTTGACAGGGACCAAATCGCAAATGACGATGGTGGGGTGAAGATAGCTCCACTGGCGGGGTTGCGTCGATTCCGCCCAAACGAGATAAATAGCCATAGGAAGATTGGTAATTGGTGTGGTATTACGGAATACTACCCTCATCCAAATAATCGGCATCGTATATACAAACGCGGTATATCGGTATATTGAATTTCATTTAGCCGTACATAGCTTCAAGACCCCAACCATAGTGATCATGGCATCCAAGAACTCCTCCCCCGGCAGCCTCTCAGCCTCTGCGCTGTTCAATGTGGATAACATGGTGGCATTGGTCACTGGAGGAGGAACAGGTGGGACACGAGAGCAGAGGCCTCAGACATATCAATGCGACTACGTGAGGCATGTACTGACACCCTCCTAGGCATTGGGCTGATGATTACAAAAGCATTGGTTGAGAACGGGGCTTCTAAAGTCTACATTGCTGGGCGACGAAAGGAGGTCCTGGACTCTGCCGTGAGCTCCATCGGCCCCAACGTGATTCCTATCCAGTGCGATGTGGCTTCCAAGGAGAGCCTGGCACAGGCGGTAGAGGCCATCGAGAAGGACAGCGGCTACCTCAACCTGCTCGTCTGCAACTCGGGCATCGGAGGGCCGCAGGTTAAGCCTCCAACGCCCGACACTACGGCCGAGGAGTGGGCAAAAGCCAATCTTGAGGTCAGCTTTGATGATTATGTCAAGACATTCTCCGTGAACACAGCTGCCGTCTGGTTCACTAGTATGGCCTGCTTGAAGCTCTTGGACCTAGGTAACAAAAAGGGGAATCTGGACCAAACCTCACAGGTCATAATTACAAGCTCAATTGCCAGTTTCAACAAGAAGGCACCCGGTGGATGGGCCTACGGGCAATCAAAAGCAGGGGCCACGCTGGCGGCCAAACAGCTCGCCGTGGCGTTGCCTCAGTGGAATATCCGGTGAGTTTTCGGCGGTTGCGGTCGTCGGATACGTGAACGAGAACCATCTTTGCTGACCGAGTGCAAATTCTGACCCCCAGAGCAAATTGCATCGCGCCAGGCTGTAAGTTTATCCCGTCCATCTTTTCTCTGTGGTGGTTAAACCCCCATCCGACCCGACATCTCGGATTAAGAGGTTGAGTGGGGATGCTGACTCTGGTTTTCCGGCCACAGTATTTCCGAGCGAGATGTCGGAGCCCATCGTCAACCTCTACTCGGATGGCTCAGGTGGCCCGGGCGCTTTACCCAACGCGATGGTGCCTCTAGGGAGAATGGGAACTAGTCAGGATATGGGCGGAACCTTGTTGTATCTTGCCTCTCGGGCCGGGGCGTATTGCAACGGAACGGTGATTGTCATCGACGGAGGGCGACTCGGGACATTCCCCTCAAGTAACTAAGCCGGCCTCACGATGGCGGGTGCTATCCGAGGCTTGGAGCTGGTCCTCTGACAAAGCTGGGTGGCGCCGAGGGCCTTTGCGTTTTATGAGTCAGGAGCTTCATGCCTGTTAGTCGTTGTCTCAAAATCTATTAGCTATCTGTGATGACAAGTGGGTTTTCTCTGCCTTGAATGTGCACTTCGTTGCTGCAAGTTGGTACCAGCATGAGAAAAGAGGGCGCACGTAGGCCGAGCAATATGGCGGTATGTGTGTAGTCTGTCTGCATCTGCAGCCCCCAAGGCTGGGCACTAAGTTGAATCGAGGGTAGAGAGAATTCTATATTCCATCAACTCGACTAACTAGCCTCTGTTTTACCACGTGCATGCATCGTAGACGAATCAAGCTGAGTTGAGGTCTCAAAAAAGAAAGGAACAAGGGGGTGGGCGTAGAGAGATACTGCACTCAGGTGCCAATCTGCAGTTTCACCCACGTCGTCTTGTCTCCCACCTCCCACCCTTGATCTCGCATCGTTTTAGCTGCAGATATACCCTCGTTTGGTTTCTGGGGGCAGACAAATCACAGCCCGCTCAGCGCGTTTACCGACGAGGCGGCCATTCCCGCAGGATGCCAAGCGGGCGCAGCACGGAGGCTCCTGGCGGTTTGTAAATCATGAAATCGTCGTGATGAGACAATGCCGCAACTGACCGGCCCGGCGGGAGTTTTCGGTCTAAGACGTTCACGGTAGCCGAACCGTTTGCCGGATGACGGCTATCATGACGAATCGTCTGGGGAGTTCTCAGGGTCATGAACAATCAATAATTGTCAGACCAAACCATGACCTATTGTGGCATCATGGTTCATTTCCCAGTTTATTACGACGTAATTGAAGATGTGGATATCGCGATTGCTCCTTGTGATAACAGAACGGACGTGGAGGATAAAGTTGGTGAGCTGGATCGTTCTACCCCCACCATCGGTCCTCCTTGGATAGCACCCGGTCCCGCCCAGGTGCCTTAGCTGGGCCGAATAGCCACTTGATCATTATTAATATGTTTGGTATGCTGAAAATAAAAGGCATTACCAAGACTCGATGCCCATTATCGGACGGAAGATTAGGCCGTTGGGGATAGTAGAGCTGCACACCATAAAACGACGTCATTTTGGGGGGAGCTCAACGCCCCAATGAACCTTCAGGGGAACCTTGCAGATGATTAGGTACAGGAGATTCCCGAAATGATTCATTTGTGCGTCCAGGTATCAGGCATCTATAAGATCAGACGATATTGGGTAAGATGCAATTTGCTGGCTTCGGCTGTCGAGGCTTCGTTTTCGTGAGTTTAACCGAGGATCTCAAGGTTCGGTGATACAAAGTGCGTCCCGATAACAGAGTCGCAGGTCGGCGTCTTTCTTAGTGTCTCAGGCCTCTGGCAATGCGCTAGGGTAGGTCCCTTTCTGGGGGGCCTAGAGCTGAGCCGGAGCCCCGCAGTCCGCTGCAGGTCCACTAAGGCCCACCGGCCAACAGCGAGCTTACATGCTGTGTGTGGTAGCATCAGAGCAGCAGCGCACTGAGAGCCCTCCCTCGCATCACCACATTGACTTATGCCCATACCCGATTGTCCCTGCGGTGGATTCCGTTATCCCTAGTAATGGCGCCAAGTTCATTGGACATTCAACTTGCGCCAATCAGAAGGGGTGGAAATACCTCCGGGTTAGGCCGCACAAGCATCCCTCCTACATGCTGTGTGCTCTTGTGTCGTTTCTCCGTATTGAGTACTCCCAAGCCAATAAGCAGGGCTGCGTCTCCCATCAGGGTCCTCCGCTTGACATGGGCCTAGCATCTGCTACCGGCACCGGGGTGGACTTTTGGGCCAGTAGTGTCCACGCTGGACCTTGTTTGGGCCTCAGAATCCAGTCCAGGAACCGTCATCGTAATTCCTCCATGTAATACGTCGAGAGTGCCTGTGGCTGGTGTTCTAGAGGGACAGCTCCTCGCGTAACGATCCCCTCCATCCCCCCTCCTTCTCAAAGTCTAATGATGAGTCGAGGGTTTGACTCCTCAAACGGTACCCCGCACGCTTGGTCGTTGGGCACTAGTCGTAAAGGAGGTCAACACCACCATATGTCGTTGCAACTTACCATCTACCTAGCCAAACCTCCATCCAGACTGGCCAAGTGAATGGCCGAGATGACGTCTGTTGGAGGGTGGCTACTGGATGAGAGCCGCCACGACTCCTCACTTTACCACCATTGTCAAGTCTGGTGGTAGTCGGGTCAATGAGGTAGAGGCAATGAGGAGGGGAGGCGCTTTTGGCATTCCCCCATTCAAATAGTATGCCATCATCGCTTTTTCCCAACCGCCGATGATCGCCGTTTTCCTCTCCATCCACCTCGTTTTGTCTCCTGTCATTACTTGCGCGAGTCTCCCATACTTGCTGAGCGAGCACGCAACGTTGCTGCCGTGTACATCTCGTAGCGATTGCCAGACTGCGCATCTCGGTTATTAGACGGCCTCGTTTTCTTCGTTAGTTTCAGGTATCGTCGGCTTGACAGAACTAGGCATTTGCGGAGCTCCTTTGCCTTGGCGTATCTATCTCACGTCCCACATCCGCTCGCTGGACCGCACGTTCGTCCCAGCCACGAATCATTGACTGGAGCGTCGACTCCAAGAGACAATGTGAGTAGGGTTTTGGTAATTCACACGCCCCATCGCTGCATGACGGAGAGATCCACGGTCCCTGGGATCCTTGTCGAGGTTGCGGGCTTGCAAGTCTGGGCCATTCCTCCTGGCGTGTTCCACCTCTAGCCCTTCTCATGTCGATGCTCGTCGTCGACTGGATCTGCGACCCACCGGATTAGACACAGCCGGGCCACCAACCACGGCTGTCGTGATTCGATGTGATGCAGCCTCAATGACCCATTTGGCGCCCTCCCTGCACTTCCCTGCACTTCCCGAGCCGATAGCTCGGCCCACTCAACACCACGCATCAGCTCTTCCTTGCAATTGATGGCTGCAGATTAATAGCTTCGTCGGACGACCGAGGTGATGCTCCCGGCTGTTGTCGGTCATGAGAATCCTCATTGACATACGTCCGAGCCTACCTTTGCCCAATTGTGCCCACCTCACAAAGCCCTATGTCATCAATTGCCGTTCCCTCTGGGATATAATATCATCATGGCCCACCCAGAATGTCAAAATCGATCTCTGCATGTTTTCTT